TATGGTGTGCCATATATTCTTTATTTGGGGTCAGTAGATAGTCTTCACATCCCCAGGAATAGCGTCAGACAACAAGCCCTGAAGCAACAAAACCTTTGGTCAAGCGACTAAGGATGGGGCTGACTATAAATTCCTTTTCTTGTTGGAACTTTCATTGAGTCTAGAATTGTGTGCACCAGAATCATCTAGTGGCAACCATGGTTATTGTCAAAAAGAAGTAAAACTGGATGAGTTTCTCCTCTGAGAAAGCAGCAAGTGCTCTTAACCACTGAACAATCTCTAGCTCCTTTTGCAGTTTTAGAAAGGCAGAAAAATGTTTCTGTATCCCTTTTATATTTCATTTTCAACTCATATCTATATTAATACAATACAGATTAAATGAAAAATTGGTTGACTGATCAACAGATTGGCTATCAGAGGTAAAAGAAATGATCTGATTTATCAAGTATTCAGAGATTTGCGAATTATTCATTTACTTTGTAAATTGTGTGTGTGACAGTTTGGTGGTGGTACATCACTTTAATCCCAGCACTCAGGTGGCAGAGACAGACTGATCTCATGAGTTCAATGCCAGCCTTGTCTACAAAGTGAGTTCCAGGGTGGCCAGAGCTGTTACACAGATGTAGACAGAAGTTCTTTCCTACCCAGTCTTGCAATGATTCAGTCCCCCCCCCCAAAAAGGCAGCCTTATATTAATTCTAAACTGTTTCGCCTATTTCTCAGGCTTATTACTAACTAGCTCTTGCAACTTAAATTAACCTATAATTCTTATCTATGTTTAGCCATGTGACTTGATACTTTTTCTTAGTAATTACATCTTTGTCAATCTTGAAATTGTGTCTCTGCCTTTCCTCTTCATATAATTCTCCTAGTCTGGTCATTCTGCCTGTATTTACAGCCTGGCTACTGAACTACCAGCATTATATTAAACCAATATGAGTGACAAATCTTTACAGTGTACAAGAGAATTATCCCCAGCATAACCACTTTTTTCCTATTCAAAATAACCTGAATCTAATCTCCTTTATTTAGCTTTTTCATAAACATTATCCATAACAACTTGTAACCAACAACATAAACAAACTCAAACATCCATAATCCATTTTTGGAAATATGGACATACTTTTCTAGGCTATTTCTTGCTGATTGGGGGTGCTGGTAATTTGGGGGAAACCCTGAGAAAATTTAGAATTATGGTCAACTCCTGGCTGGATTATTTTGTGAGGCTGGATCACCTTAACCAGTCACCTTAAAGCTGTTCTGGAATGTAGAACTCAGAGGAAACTGCAACAAAGGCACTCTGAGATATTGGATCATCTAGGCCATCTGTTCCTATCAGAGATTTTTCAGGAGGTCTTCCTCAATCAAACCTAATTTTTCCAAGCTAATAATGAATCAACAGCCTGTGTAAATAAAAGCAAAACCTCATTCCCAAAGTAATATATCTTTTGATGTGGGAGTCCCCTCTGTGAGCTTTATTCATTATCCATTAATGAATAAAGAAACTAAAGTGGCCTGTTGATAGGGCAGAACTTAGGTAGGCAGGGAAGCAGGAACTGAATGCTGGGAGAAGGAAGGTGAGGAGAGAGACACTATGGATCTGTCACTGGAGATAGACATGCTGAAACTTTGCTGGTAGGCCTTGATTTCATGGTGATATACAGAGTAATAGAAATGAGTTAAATTAATATGTAAGAGTTAGCCAATAATAAGCTAGAGCTAATGGGCCAAGCAGTGATTTAATTAATACAGTTTCTGTGTTATTATTTTGGTTCTGGGCATCCAGGATGAACAAGCAGCCCCTTTTCCAACAATCTTTTGACTTAAATTTTAAAGTCAAGATATATTTAAAATATATAGGTTGGTTTAATCAAGCAACATTTATAATTAAATGTCTTTTGCCAGATTTTCCTCCCACCTCAGCAGTCAAATAATTCAAAGACAACACAATAACATATAGTATCCGGACTCTCTCTGTTTTGTCCATCTTTACATGCTTTTTCTATTATTCTACTTATTTTTAAGAGTTTTCTGTATCCTTTTATTTTCTCTCCAAAACCTACATATATTTTTAAATACACTGTCAACTATTAAGAGGGTTTTTTCATCTGAATCTGTCTTTATTGTATCTCTATTATTTTCTGACCACATGAGTCTTTAATCTTCTCAGTGACATGGCTAGCATTAAAGCGACAGCTTTGAAACTGGCTCAACCCCATTCCTTTGCTTCCTCAGAGTCTAGATTCATGACGGAGGTACTAGTGGGAGCCATACTTATTGCCACAAATAGTAGAGTGTCTCAGTCCCTTCCACCACCAAGAAGCATGCCACTGGCTGCTCATAACACCATTTAAGTGTTTAGTAGCAGGGCGTCTTAAAAGAGGCATGCAATTTTTGCTGATAAAGCTAAGTCAGGAAGCCTCTCTTAAAGAACTGCACCTCTTCTTGCCTCTAGCAGAGAGCACCCAAGAAACTGCTGCTACCAAGGAGCCTTGCTTGACTCTGTTCTTTGGTGTCTAGAATCCCTTCCCAAGTTCTCTCAGATTTTATGTGGATGTAGTTGCTGAACGTAGGGCACCATTTGTAGATAGAAGTTTCTGTCCTGCATGGCTCCACACTTGTTTAGTCCCAAGTAAATACACAGAGGCTTAAATGATTATAAACTGTTTGGCCTATTGCTCAGGCTTATTACTAACTATCTCTTACAACTTACATTAACCCATAATTCTTTTTTTTTTAATATAATTTTTTATTGAAAAAAAAAAAAGATNTCCCCCTCCCTCTCCAGTCTGAGGGGCAGTCAGGGTTCCCTGCCCTGTGGAAAGTCCAAAGTCCTCCCCGCTCCATCTTGGTCTAGGAAGGTGGACGTCCAAACTGGCTAGGCTCCCACAAAGCCAGAACATGAAGTAGGATCAAAACCCAGTGGCATTGTCCTTGGCTTCTCAGCAGCCCTCATTGTCTGCCATATTCAGAGAGTCCGGTTTTATCCCATGGTTTTTATTCTTATCTATATTTAGTCAAGTGGCTTGATGCCTTTTCTTAGGAAGGCATTTTCATCTTGTTTCTTCTGTGTCTGGCTGGTGATTGTGTCTCTGCCTTTCCTCTTCCCAGAATTCCCCTAGTATTGTTGCTCCACCCATACTTCTTGCCTGGCTACTGTCTAAGCAGCATCTTTACAGTGTATAAGAGCATTATTCCACAGCACACAGAAAAACCCTGTTTCCAAAAAAGTGTGTGTGTGTGTCCATCCTTTTATGAGCACCTTGTGCATGCAGGTGCTCACAGAGGCCAGGAAAGGAACATTAGGTCACTAGATCTAGAGTTACAGGTAGCCATAAACTGCCTGATGAGTATGCTGGGAATTTCATTACATGGGAGCCATAATTAATTTCCCTGTTCAATTGTCATTTTGAATATTCCAGAACACAAAATAGTTTAGAAAGAGGGAGCATGATATAAACACATTTGTTAGTATCAACGCCATAGAAAATAGACAACAGAGAAAGTGCTGGACTCATATTAGGACATTGTATGTACATCAGAAAAGTTAAAATGTAGAACTTGGAAAAATTTATATCTCATCATGGATTGACTAAGAATTTCAGTGAAGCATTAAGTCTTCCCTAGGATCAACAAGATGACTAAATGGTAAAGGAGTGTGCCACCAAGCCAGAGGACTTGAGTTTGAACCCTAGAACTCATATGGCAGAAATAGAGCACTGACTGCCATCAGTTTGTCTTCTGACCTCTGCATGCCACAAGCCTACCCACATAAACACACACACACACACACACACACACACACACACATATATACACACATAGATAGTGGGGAAGAGAGAGACAGGTACCAAGACGACAGGAAGAAGAGACACTAACTTACATGCAAGATGCACAGAAATAAATAAATAAAAATTCTACAACCATTTTCATTTTTCCAGGAATTCTAGTTGCAGAGTTCATGTTCTCATTAACTGTGTGCTATTGTTCCATTATAGTGAACAAACAGAACCAGTAAGGTTATGTGAGAGATAAGAACATGATGTTTAAGTCAACAATCACCTATGCCTGTTTCTCCTCTAAAGAATAGCAAAGTAAAAAGAAAAGATTATTTTAGGAACTATTTTTATTGAACCATCTGAGGGAAAATTGTCAAAGTGATAGGTATACATTCTCACATTATTACAAACTAGTTGTATTAATTACTTGTCTTGTAGCTGCAACAAAATGTCTGACCAAAAAAAAAAAAGTTTCACCAGCACATAAAGGCAGGTTGGAGTCTTTAAAACAAGGGTATGCCTATTAGTTACTTTTCTGTTGCTGTGATAAACACCATGGCCAAGAAAACTTAGTGAAGAGTTTGCTTAGGTTTATGGTACCAGATGGGTTAAAGTCCATCATGGCAGGGAGGAAGACAGCACACAATAAGATCAGGAATCTGAGAGCTGACATCTTCAAATGTAAGCATGAAGCACAGAGAGGTAACTGAAAATGATAAGAAGCTTATTTTCTTAAAGTCCACTTCTAGTGGCACACTCCCTGCAGTAAGTTTGCTTCACCTACAGCTGCTCAAACAGCATAACCAAATGGCAACCATGTGTTCAAAAGCCCAAGACTATAAAGGAAAGTTCTTCTACAAACAATTATAGCCTGAGATGAGAACTCTGGTGTCCATGGGCTTTTGAGATGACTCGTGGGATCATATGTGTGAAACATGGACTGGGAAGATGGGAGATGCTGGTAGAGATGTGAAACTCTACCCTTCCCTTATAATCTACATGGAATTCATGATAGTTCACTGATATATGTTTTCTTCAGTGATGTAGCCCACTGATAAGTGGACCATATTGTTATAAATGACCCCTTAACTTTACTATCCTTAAACAACATTATTTAAACTCATACACCCAAAAAGACAGGAAAGTAGAAGGGAGAACTGGTTGGGAAGAGAGAACTGATCAGTAGGATGAAGAAAATGGGGAAATAGTAATGGAGGTAAATAAAGTCAAAAAGTATTTAATGTACATAAAACACCATAATGAAAATCATTAATATATGTAATTAGTATGAGCAAATAAAATGCATAAATGAATTAACTGAACAGCAAAATAATTAAAGAAGAAAAATAATAGATCCTGATTGAGTTTATCAACCCATCCTGCTGTGTATCTATTTTTTTCTGAAATGAAAGTTTCATCTAGGGAAAAACTCATTAAAATCCAGAAGAAAATGAAGCTTCTCAGATTCAAGAAGTAAACAAAACTCTCAAATGTCAGGAAGTTTCTGAAACGTGGAAGAATCATAAGATCCCAGCATCCAGGTTATATAAGCAGTAGTAATCATAAGGAATTATAAGGGAACTTCAGAGATATGTCTTTCTTGCATCAGAGAAAGACTCACCAAGACTCAGTGATGGAGCTGCTTTTGAATCACCTCTGTGTATGTAAGCAAGAACTCATGCATGCTCTCGTAAGTGCCCATAGAAATTCACTACTTCACTAAGCTAAATTTGGGTGGAATCACTCCTTCAGTCTCTCTTTGTTACCATATCTGTAGTAAACGGTTGTTCCTTCACAACTCTCTAGGAAATGCCAGTAGTTGTTGATAAAACTTGTAATTGGTATTTATTTTCTCAACAGAAATCAGGTTTGGTGGTGACAATGAAGTAGAATTAGGAAGTTCCACAAAAGGCGGGAAGTTGAATGTATCTATCTTGGATTGATGTCTTCACATCATTTTGTTCCATAGTCAGCTCGATGAACACCCAGAATCCTGCATGCACGCACAAGATTACCATAGTCTTCATCTTTGAATTTATCCACAATCTAAATTGGTTTCTGGTCCAGTGGGACACAGCATCATAACAAACCACTATACATCAAGCTCCACTAATGGTTCCATCTCTTGACACAACCTTTAGAAGTACTGGTTTTTCTGGTTGAAGAAGTCCTTGCTTGCTTAATTTTAAAGGGATCTGCAACAATTAAACAAGTATAAGAAGTAGTCAATGAAGAGACACCAACCACAAATACAAAGATGAGACACAAAAATGCCAAAGTACTTTACAAGCACACAAAAACGACTTTTACCTGCAGTGTCCTTCCTTAGGTACTACCTACCCTTTTGGAGACAGGGTTTCTCACTGGCCTGGAACTCACAAATTATATAGTTTGGGCTACTTATTGAGCTCCTGGAATCTACTGGTCTCTGTCTCCTTGGTGCTGGGATTTTCAGTGCATGTCAACATACCTAGTTGGTAATAGGTGTTGTTTGTTTGTTTGTTTGTTTGTTTGGTTGGTTGGTTGGTTGGTTGGTTGGTTGGTTGGTGGCTAGGTTTGTTTAGTTGATATGTTGGGAGTTGTTTGTTTGGTTTCTTTGCTTGATTGCTTTGTTTGCTATATTTTTAATGGGTTGTGGGCATTAAGCTTAAGTACACATGCTTTCAAGGAAAGACTCATTCTGATTGATCTATCTCCTGCAGCCCCTGAATTTAGACAATCTTTATACTTAGGTCTTTATTTTAAAAGAAAAAAAAAGATAAAAATTCTAAAACTGAAATACATAAACTCTCCAATAAATACTGCAAAGAAATTCCTTGAATAAATAGATCAGTATAGTTCTATACAAATCAATAGCCCAGTTAAAAAGATAAACTCCCATAAAACATAAAACTTACTGAAAAAGCACACTGACCTGAGTTTCCTTACAAGGTTGAAAGGAGAAGTTCTGCAGGACGCGGACAAGAGCAATTTTCATGTTCATGAGAGCAAATCTCATGCCAATGCAATTCCTGGGTCCATCCCCAAAGGGCAGATATGTGTAAGGATTAATGTTGTCCTGGTTCTTCTTGCTGAACCTGGTCCCACAGGAGTAGATGAAGAAAAGTTAACAAAGCACAAAACCCACAACAGTCACTTACCTGATATTTTTAGATACCCATAAGTAGTAATAAACAGGAAGCTTTTCTGATCTTATTGTGAAAAATTTCGGGTTGCTTTCACAGTTTCTTGCTTGTATACAATCTATTGTGATTATTTTCCCCTCCACATTAACTTCTTGCATGCTCTCCTCAACTGTACTCATGCTCCTCAGAACCTATCCCCCTCCTATTTCCATGTCTTTTTGTGAGAGTCTTTCACAGGAAGTCACAAACGTTGTATGTTCATAATGGGGATGGTCATGTTCTAGCCAGAAGACATTTAACACTCCTCCCTCATTCTTTATCTCCTGGTCTTTCCATGCCCTCTTCCGCAGTATTCTCTGAGCCTTGGAGTAGGTGATATGCCACAGGGATTAGACAAGTTACGAATCTTCCCTCTTGCTTTACCATGGAGGAGCTTGTAGTCATATTAGAGGAGGTGAATGCTGTTTAATAGAATGTTTATCTTTAAACATGATTGTTGCATTTAATGGGATGTGTTCATTCTCTGAGACATAAGAAATGAGACCAAGTGGAAAAAAAGTATCTTATTGGCTAAATTAATAGTCATAGAAGTGGGAGGATAAAAAAAGTCATCGCTACTGCGTAGCATGAATAATAAAAGCCCAGAGACAGATATTGGGTTCAACCTGAAGATCATAAAAGTAAAGCAGCCAGACACTGGAGAAGTCTTGTCTCTACCAAGGCTGGGCGACTACAGACTGAGTCCTGAACCTCTGTTTCCTCCTTTCTTATATTCCCCTCTAGGGCTGGGATTAAAAGCATGTGACTCCCTCATAGTGGGATTAAAGGTGTGAACATCACCACCTGGATCTGTTTCTGCATTGATCTTGTGTAGCCCAGGATGGTCATGAACATTCTGAGATCCATCTGCCTCTGCCTCCCAAATTGTGGGATTAAAGGTGTGTGCAACCACTGCCTGACCTATATGGCTGACTAGTATTACTGTTTTGTGTACAGAAAATATACAATAAAATATCACTACACTACTGAAATTGTTTTCCTTACTCTTTCTTCTCACTGTTATTCTTTTTCTCTTCTCCATTATTCTTTTTCTTCTTTCTTCCTCTTATTTATTCCCTTATTGCTTTACCTTCCCTTTCTCTTTACTCCTGTCCATCTCTCTGTTCTTTCCTACTTCTCATCCTCCCTTCCTCCACCATTCTCTTCACTTCCTCTTTACCCTCCCTCCTTTTTTCTTTCCTTCTCTTTCTTTTCCTTCCTTCCACCTTATGTCCCTACTAGCCTCCCTTTACTTTCCCTCCTCTTCCTTCTTTTTCTTGATGCACTTCCCTTTCTTCTTTATTAAATATTTTAAGTCAGATAATTTACAAAGACATACAATGCTACTATAGCATGATATTTCCATTAATTTATTCATCTGTGTTTTCTTTTGGGTATAAAATCTGGTAGGGTAGATAACCTATTCAAAATAGATAACATATAAATGATATCTAAGAGAAAATTTGTTGGTTCCTAGAAAAAGCAGCAATTGCAATGTGACTTTGTGTTTTAAGCTGTTTTTTCAATATTTGGAAAATTTTTGAGTCTATAAGTGTATTATATTTCCAAAAACATAATGATGGTTGTGGAGGCGTGTGAATAAACAACACACATGAATGAATGGTTGCTGGTCACAGAGAATTGTATTGAGAGTGCTGTAGATATTGATTTGCTTTGTTTTCAGAAATTTGATGACTATTCTATTCATCAAGTTCCATTAATATAAACATATTCAAAAGCCTAAATTAAAGACAGAGATTGAAAAATATTATAAAGGAAACAGACAAAAGAGCTCTAGCTGTAAATTTCTTCATCTATCAGACATGATACTTGGAAAATTATTTATTGATACTTTTAATGTGATAGGAAATTGTTAGTACTCAAGAGTGCTAATATAGCACAGTTGGAAAAGGAAGTGTTTGGACTCACAGAATAGGACTTGAGTTCAGATCCCCATAAACTAGGTAAAATTATAATTTAGGAACATTAATGAACATTTCAATCTATATTAGGGTACAGACCACAGAGATAGACAGATCTGTCAACTTCATTGGCTAATCAGTATCAATGAACTGCATCTTATGTGAGAAAGACCCACCAATTGGATCTCTGGTGTATACTACACCACACACACACACACACACACACACACACACACACACCAAAGAGATCAAGAGAGATAGAAACAAAATTCACATATGTGAGTACACACATATATGAATACATTTATATTGTACACACAGACACACAAATACACGCATACAAACATACAAAAACACTATGGCCTAATAAACTGTATTGCCTATCCTTTCTTTCTTCTATATAATTTTGTCTTCAACATTTTTCATTTTAAAACAATTGCTTTTCATTTTATTTATCAATCCCAGTTTCTATTTCCTCCCCCTCCCCCACCCACACCTCAGAGAATGTTTTTCCCATGGGAAGCCAACAAAGTTTGGCATATCAGTCTGAGACATAACCAAAGCCTTCCCCCTATATCTTGGTTGAGCAAGGTGTCCCTCCAAAGAGAATGGGTTTCAAAAAGTCAGTTCCAGCACTAGAGATAAGTCCTGATCTCACTGGCAGTGAACCCATAGACATCCCCAGCCTCACAACTATCACCCACATTCAGAGAACCCTGGGAGAGATATACATGGATTCCCCTGGAAGGGGAAATAGACAAGATCTCCTGAGAAAACTGGAAGCATGGAAATGGAGAAGGGAAGAGGGAAGGGAAGGGGGAAGGGAAAGGGGAAGGGAATGGAGAGATGGGGGAGGACAACATGAGAGAGTGGGATGGCTGAGATGGGGGAAGGACAGAGAGGGAGAGAAAGGAAAGAGATATCCTGATTGATGGAGCCATTGTGGGGTTAGCAAGAAACCGGGCACAAAGTAAATACCCAGGAATCCACAAGGATGACCCCAGATAAGACCCTAAGCAACAGTGGAGAGGATGCCTAAACTAGCCTACTGTAATATTGATAATTACTTTAATTGAAATTATAGAACATTCATCCAGTAACTGATGGAAACAGAAGCAGAGATACACAGCTAAGCACTGGGCTGAGCTCCCAGAGTCCAGTAGAAGAGAGGAAGAAATGATAATAAGAAAAAAGGGGTCAAGACATGATGGGGATAGCCAAAGAAACATCTGACAGAAGCTAGTGGGAGCCCACTGAACATGAGTGCTGAAGATGTTGGTTTGTACACAGTACATTTGTGAATTTGTCAAATATTTTCTGTTGTAGATATTGATCAACATATTCATTGATCAGTGTTTGAGGTAGTTTCACACAACACAGTAAGCACAGACTATCTGTCTCATTAATAAATGAATATAATAACAGCAGCACAGTCAATTGTCTGTGTGCCACAAAACTATAGGTGGTGTAATTACTGAGACTGGAAGGAACACAGAAGCCATCTAGTCTAGAAGACAGAAGAACTGATGAGCTCTGGTTATCTTCTTCAGCAAGTACTATACATAGACTTAATTATATCTAAATGGTACATCATGGCCAACAACATACGGTGTCAGAAATCAGGAGGTACATAATTAGAAGCAATGTCTGTCTAGATCCTAAGCCTCTGCCCTAGAAACACCATTTTTTATTTTGCTTGCCAAGAAAACAATTAGACTGTAGACTGTGACTAAAGCCTGACCTTGCCTCTGGCTTCCTAGAAGAGCCTGCTTGAGAAGAAGGATGCCTCAGACTTCTAGACAGGCGGCCACATGGCTTTGGAAAATTCACATAGTGTAAGAGAGGGTCCAGGACAACATCCAGAGGTAAGAATGGAAAGATCTGTGGTCTCTTCTCTGTCCTCAGTAGAGCTGCTCAAACAAGACCCTCAGATTACATCATCACAGTCACACTGGAGGACCCAGGAGGCAAAGCCTAGTTAAATGAAAAATGTAAATACTCCTTAAAGGTGATAGGAGCAGTTAAAGGTAACAGCAAAAAAAGAAGAAGAAAACTAGTAATGAAAAGACTAATCTATTAAAATAAGATAGTGCTGAGGACATTGTGACAGATGCTACTCTTGTCTTAAAAGATTGTATAGGTATATAGGTGAATATATAGATAGATAATAAGTAAACACAGACAGACTGCTCTTGATACTTGTGTGTTTTCAACACCAAGAGACAGCATGTCATGCTTGGACTAGTCCAGTTCCGGGTAGTTTGTCTTTCTAACATCCCTGTACCTTTCAGGGCGGAACTCCTCAGGTTCTGGCCAGTACTTTGGGTCTTTGTGAAGAACAAGAGTTGGTACTATCACCACAGTCTTTTTGGGAATGGGAACACCATTAACGTCCACATCTGCCTTACAGACCCTCTCTAGTCTTCCAGCAATTGGATATAATCTGAGAGTTTCATTTATCACCATGTCCAGATACTCCATCTGGACCAGGGCGTCATAGGTGGGGGGTGCCTGCAAAGAGGGAGAGAGATTTTAGTAAATTACCGCTTTGAACTAACTTTCATCTGTGAAGAACTATTAGCAGGTTACACTGCCAAAGAAAAACTCCCACTGATGCAAGATCTTAGCATTTACAAACCATTTTAATAACTGAAACTTCAACCTGCTCAATATACCTACAAGAAATGTAGGGAAATTATGAAATACTGGAAGACTTTGTGACAATCCAGAATTCAGGCCCTAAAATCCTTGGTATTGCTATATACAACTTTTTCCTTCTTATGGTGAGGAACCATAACCAGCAGATCATGATAATTAGAGTCAACAACAACTTGAGACTCTTAGAGTTACCTTTCCACAGACAGACCCCACACATGTACTTGAAAGTAAATAAGCACAGGAAGAAGGAAAACCCCTATTGTTCTTATTTGAAAATATCCCATGCGGTCAATCTTTTGATTATATATCACACTTGGAAGCGTCAAATAGGATAAAATTTTAAATGATCTGGGGAGATACTAGTCTCTACTCTATTAAAGGACAAAAGACAGATAGAGTCATTGCTATCAAATGGTCCATTCCAACCCTGGTATAAAAGTCACAATGAGAACAGGATCCATCACTCAGCTCTATTCTTTGTGGATAGTTCATTCTGGTGGCTGTTCCTTCAGGGCTTGCCTGTGATCTCTGAAGAGAATAATAAACCAAACAGACTACCACCCCACAGACCACATAACCTCACACCCTGGTGTGGGAGAATTGTCTGTAATCTGTCAATCATGTTTTAAATAAACGCTGATTGGCCAGGCAGAAAATACAGGTGGGAAAACCAGACAGGAAGTAGAAATGATGTAATGAGAACAGGAGAATTCTGGGAAGGAGGAAGTTGATTCCTCCCACTCCTGCCCAGACCACCACCGAAGCAGCAGGATGTGATCTGCCCCACTGAAAAAAGGTACTAAGCCACATGGCTAACATAGATCAGAAAAATGGGTTAATCAAGATGTGAGAGTTAGCCAATGAGAGACTAGAGCTAATGGGCCAATCAGCTTATAATTTATGGAGACCTATGTGTGATTTTCTTTGGGCCTAAACAGTTGTGGGGTACTGGGTGGGACAGAAACACAAACAAGCAGGCCCCTGTTCATGTTACAACACCCCACAGCTTCCCAGTTTGGGCAAAGTTGTAAAGACTAATATAGGGAACATTTGACTATTACTTTATGGGAGCTTTGAACAGATGATAATGATGGGTTAAGAGTTTGATTCAGGCCACCTATGAGTGGAGAGAGATGTGTGGGGCAGAGCTAAATCACTCTACCTAGTCAGGCAAGGTCAGTCACAGTCAGACAATAGCAGGCAACAGCACACCCTACAATATCAGCAGAGCTGAATATACAGACACTTGAGTAACCAATGCTCACACTTCCATGCCACTGTGATTTTGAGGCTGTTTCTTAGTAGGTTTTGATGGCATATAATAGATAAGGATGTGCCAATATTCATCTACAAAGACATTATTTTCCTAAAAGCAGAATCCAATGCCTGTTTCCCATCAATATCTCTTTCCAGAACCTTCTTACATAAAGGTGGTGATGAGATCAATGCTTATCACTATTGAAAAATTCTCACTGGACGTGATAAGGGGCCATTAGTGTTAATGCATCTCCTCTTCCCTTCCTCCTTCTCCAGACCAATCCTCTCACCTTATTGGGCAGAGCTGCATCAATTTCATCCTGCAGTTTCTTCTGGACATCAGGATGAGTGGCCAGTAAATACAAAGCAAAGGAAAGAGCGCTGCTAGTGGTCTCATAGCCAGCGAAAATAAAGATAACTGATTGGGCCACAATCTCCAGATCGGACAAAGCTAATGGGAAAGGAAATAAATTTTATTTTATATTTCATTAGTGTGTGAGTGTGCATGTGTGTGTGTGTGTGTGTGTGTGTGTGTGTGTGTGTGTGTGTGTGTGAGTGAGTGAAAGGGTATACCATGGTATTCTTGTTAGGGTCAGAAGACAGCTTGCAAGAATGAGTTCTCTCCTTGCAACATTTGGGTCCTGGGGTTTGAACTCAGGTCTTTGACTTGGTATCAAGTACCTTTATCTGCTGACCTATATGGAGGGCCCAGTAGATACATTTTAGGAAAAGGAGAACAGTATTAAGAAATTTATTATTTGGATAAAAAATAAATATTCCAAATCCCTGAAAAGATTATGAGAAAGCAATTCAGGGTCACAGTGGTCATGGTTTTCATTCTCACAATCAATCTGACAAAGGATTGAAATGAGAAAGTCACTTTTGTCGAGTTTCCTAAGGTCTACACTCCTCTTGACTATCTGCCCCTCATTCTGACATCCTCAACACCTCCACCACTGAACCATATCAAGAGGAAGAATTTCTGTCTGTTATACAGTTTCTTCGGTATGCCCTGTAGATAATTGGAAATATACCTTGTTTGTTCAATTTTTATTTTGTCTCTTTGTGAGAACTGAAATCATAAATGCTCATTTACTGGAAAGCTGGTACAGTATATTTTAACTTAAAATCTGTACAATTTTTATTTATTTTATTAAGTTTCAGTTTATTTGCATGTGTGTGAATGCATATGTGCGCTCCTGCACATGGTGTATACAGGTAGGCCATGAACATGGGTGTGCAGGTGTGTATGGACATAGACTCAGGGCAGGATTTCTGGTGTCTTCCTCCATTATTCTGTGTGTCATTGCTTTGGGACAGAGTTTCTTACTGAAGTAGAAGCTCATCATTTCAGCTAGGTCAGCAGGATACTGAACTCTGTGTCCTCCTGTCTTTACCCTCTGGTTCTGAGCATATTCAGGAACTTGCAGCCATGCCCAGCTTTTTATGTGGGTGCTGTGCATTCAGACTAAAGTCTTCATTTTTACAAAGTAAGTGCTCTTACCCACTGAGCCATTTCCCCAGCCCTAGAAAATCTACTTCATATAAACAAAATAAATGGTACTTCCTTAAGGAAAATAATTATTCTGCCTAAAACTTAGCTTGTAACATTTTGAGTGACTATGAAACAGAAATGTTTGAGTGAATGGGACATTAGCAGACCTATGAAGTATATAGGTATTAAAGAAACTGAGGCAATGATATTAAAATTACTCAAAGTGAGGTCTATGAACTGGTAGCAACATTTTGGAGGTTCTCAGTAGTGTAGCATCTCAAACCCACCCCGTATCTCCCTGGTCAGTGTCTGAACTTTCATAAACTGTGGTGTTAACATGCATAATCCACTGGGCAAACAAGTATTACCAACCTTCAAAATGCAATTTAGAAGTTAGAAAAGCTACAGAGAAAAAAAGAATAGCTACAAAGTACTGAATGATGGGCTGGAGAAATGACTGAGTCTGTTAAGAATGTAGGTTGTAGCTGAGTGGTAGTGGTACATCCCTTTAATCCCAGCACTCAGGAGGCATAAGCAGGTGTATCTCTGAGTTTGAGGGTCTATAATGCAAGTTCCAATACAGCCAGGGACACACAGAGGAACCCCTATTTAAAAAAAAAAAAAAAAAAAAACAGGAATGCAGGCTTCTCTTCTCTTGCAGAGCACCTGAGTTCAACCACCCTTCACCTAAGCACCAGGGGATCTGATCGCCTCCTCTGGCCTCCACAGGAACCTTTACTCATCCATTCACACAGACATACACACATACACAGAAACAAGTTAGAAAATAATTCTTTTATTTAAAGGGCAATGACTAGCAATAGTCTAGTAAATGGATCTTCATTAGAGAAGTTTTAAATCTCAAATGAAAGAAACATCAATTCCAGATAAATTGCATCTGTGGAGTGCTGTACCTTGATGCTTCAAACTGCAGCCCTGTTATCCAAGACCCAAAGTTTTGACTAAGGCTGAATGTAGGCCAAGCAGGACCACCCTTATGTGTGTGCTCCTTATTTACATGGTTCTTTACAGGGCAGGGATTACAACAGGGAGTTGCATGCACAGTGACTCACGCTGTCCAGCCAGTCAAGTATCAACCTGCCCACTGTCATCGGGCATGAATCATTTGCCATGGACAAGACCAACAATGAGTCCTACTTATAACTGTGAGCTTTCAGTGATAATATGAGCATGTAGGTTCAATGCTCATAACAAACATACCACTATTCCAGTGATGAGTGTTAAAAACGGGAAAGTATAGTGGTACAGCAAGATGCCTCAACAGGTAAGGGGACTGCTGCCAAGCCTGATGAACTGAGTTTCATCCCCAGAACCAAAAGGATGGAAGTGAAAACAGAATTGTGCAAGTTGTCCTCTGGCCCTCATATGCACACCATTGCATGTGCATGCCTGCATACACACACAGGGACAAAATAAGTGATTTTCTGAAATTTATTCAAAAAAAAGAACAGGAGGCTGTGCAAGTATGAGAGCAAGAATATATGAAAGTCTGTATAAATTCAGCTGAAACTGACTGAGAGCCTATAATTTTTCTAAAATTTGTAAATTATTTTTTAAATGCATAAAATTAGAGAAGAATAAGACAGAACTCAGTCTGTTGCAAAGAGAAGTTTTTTTGATGAGGGGTGAAGACTACACACATCTGTGGGTATAAGGACAAGTGTTCAGACTGTTAGAGATTATGATGATATAGCAAAGTAGTGGCTGTAGATTCTCATCTAAGATCCACGACTTCATGAGCACTGAGTACTTAGCTGGTTGTCAGAAACCAGGCACGGTTTCTCTGTTGTTGAGCAAGTCTTAAGTCCAATTAGAGAACTGCTGGTTAACACCAAGGTATATGTGCCACTACTGCTGTGGAGCCCAGTCCCAGTAGATATATCTCCAAAACACTCCCATACATAAGGTTCAGGGAACATTGCAGATGAGGGGGCAAGAAGAATGTAAGATCCAGGAGATCAGGAAATGTTCTGTGAGATTGAGTCTCCTAGTAATGTCAGAAATTAACGCTTGGCTGTAAATCAAGAGCTGGGGAAGCATTCATTCCAGGTTTCCAATGACTATCACCACTGTTGGGCTGTTCCTCTCACTGGATGTCTAGATACAAATCTCCAGGCAGAGCTTTTGACTCAGTGGATCTAGACGAGGCCCTGACGGTATTTGTTCTGTGGTACAAGATTCAGAGGCCACTGGTAACCTCCAGGCCCAAATCACATGCTTATGGCTGCCCTTCAGGCTTTTAACACAATTATAATCCAGTACTTCTTGAAAGTTCCTCTGGCTACTACATATACTGTCTACATTTGTGGTTGGGTTGGGTTGGGTTAGGTTGGGTTTGGAGGAGTTGGAATTATTTGAAATTTGGAGGCATATTCGTCTACCTGAAAGCCTACTGCATATTTCCAGGACAAAGCCCCCACTCTGAGGTTCTCTATCAAAGAACATGAAACATCCATGCTTACCTTTATGAGACTCCTTGATGTTGGAATTCTGGGAGTTTATCATTAGTTGAAGAAAATCCACTCTTTGCTGGAAGAAAAATAGATTGGGAAAGATTCAAGGTCAGTTGAGAGGTCAGAGTGAGTCACAAGTGCTGAACTAGTCACCATTCTGAGAATAATATTTAGCTAAAATCTAGAAGTCTGGCTATGGTTCCCAAAGTCAATGATAAACAAAAACGTCCATGCGCATGGTTTGGAGAAAAGAATGCTTTCCTGAGTGACACTGGCTGTGTGTCCAATGACTTTGGTCTTTCCTGTCTCTGACCATGAGTTGTCTGACTTCTGAACAGTCCAGGTGGTCCCTTCCCTTTGCATGTGTGCTCACACAGTAAGAAGTTCTGGACTTCTATCTCCTGTACTCCCATATTAATCTCAGACTGTTGTCCTTATCAATGAAACTTGTAAGCACAATGACTGGGAGAAGCAAGCCTGGGCTACATAGTAAGACTATCCCAAAAAATAAAAATTAAAAATAAAGCAGACTAAACTGTGCTGGGTAGAATGAAATGACCTTTTTGAAAATGTGTAAAATAATAGGGTTGGAAATAAAGTGATTTCTTACCAGTATAAGGTCTGGGAAATTAAAGGACCTGGAAAGAATTTTTAAGTAGAATCATTTTCCTTTTGGGAAAGAAAAATGGCAATTTTGTCTCATTTTCTAAATTTGCATTAAATGATGCATTAAAATTGTACATGGAAATGGAATTAAATGAAATTTTGATGCATGCATATATTGAATGTTGTTTAAATCAGGTTAAGCATATTTTTTCAATATCCATTACTCATCAATGATGAGAACTTTCAAAGTCCATTCCTCTGTAGTTTTTGGATTTTTTTTTTTTTTTTTTTTTTTTTTTTTTNCTGTAGACCAGGCTGGTCTCGAACTCACAGAGATCCGCCTGCCTCTGCCTCCCGAGTGCTGGGATTAAAGGCGTGCGCCACCACCGCCCGGCTAGTTTTTGGATTTTTTTGAATGGCTTCAGCTAGCATAGAAGTACAAATGTCTAGCACATAAGCATATGTCATTATAAGACCAACAAGAAGATGGTTGGGTCACATAGGAGATCTATTTTTTACTCTCTGCCCAACTTTTTACTCTAATATGAACTAAGATCACTGAAGGCTTAACCCTCAAAGAAATGAGCCATTAATAATGTTTGTTCCTGGCTGGGTGTGATGACTCACACCTTTATTCCCAGTACTCAGGAGCCAGAAGAAAGTGAAAACCAAAATAATATTAATAATAATAATAATAGTTGCTCTAGTTGGGATCTCCTGATCCAACACCAAAGTCATAAATTCTGTTTCTGATGTGAAATCTAGAATAAGATTAAGCTAGATACCCAGGGCAACTTGAGCCATTGTTCAAGAATGGAATGTTTGCTGACCTTGTGGAAGGGCCATTGTTTTATCCCCAGTATGGAAAAATAAAAAAAAAACTTTGATTTTTTGAGTTGTTTTCATATAGTTTTCCATAATTCCCCTAATTTACATCCCCACAAATCATAAGCAAGGAATCTCTTCTTACTAACATGTGGTAAAATTTTTGCCTTAAAGTATTTATTCTGTGCTAAACTAATTGTCAAGCATATCGTTAATTTTAAACAGTTTTCCTAACTCATTTCATTTCTCTATTCACAATCACTACACTCTTCATTCTCTTTAAAATGTCAAAAATCCCCTGTCCTTAAACTACACTTCTCCATCTGACTTTCAAAGATGCACAGGAAATACCCCCACACACACACACACACATATACATGTGCATATTTTTATATAGAGGGAAAACACGTTATCAATAAATGAAAGTCCTCGTGTGAGCAGCTATTACCTTTTCTTTCTCTTGCATGCGATTCTCTTTCATTCGTTGCACAGAAGTTTTAAAAAAGCTTATGACATCTTTTGGAAACAGGCAGAAACCTAATACATCAAGTACTGGGACAAGGAATGGAAAGAGTGCTAGAGGGGAGAGAAAGGAGAAACTGTAGTGAAAAGACAAATTTGACCTAGAATAATTGCATTTTTCTGATACTCAGAACAGTAAAATTTATCAGGATCTCAACTGAGACTCTCTCTCTTGGTCAGGTTTCAGGCCAATACCTGGAAAAGGGCATGTCAATGTATGTATGACCACCAAGAAAGAAGTGATATCAATGGCTCTTGACTCATAGTGTTAGGGTTAAATCCCTTGGCCTCTTACCCCTTGACATGTTGGACTAAGGTCTTCTTGGATTGATCAGGTTTCAGTCCAATGCTACAATTAATCAAAGTGCTCAAGAAAGAACTTCCAAGGCTGGAAAGATGGCTCAGTGGGTAATGTATTTGCCTTGCAAATAAATGTGAGGAGCTATGTTTGGTCCCATATTAAAAGCCAAGAGCAGTGGCTCAGCAATAGCAGTGTGAAAGGTGGAGAAATGAATTCCTGGAAGCTTAATGGCTAGCTAACCATGGGCAAGTTCACCTAACTACTTGGTGATGCTCCAGGCTAGTGAGAGAGACTGCCTTAAACAAAAGGTAGCAGATGCCTGAGGTTTTCCTCTTATCTCTGCACTCTTATGTATACCCATATACGCAAGTGCACCTACCCACCCACCCATGAGTACACACATAAATAACAATAATGATAACATTAACCAAAAAACTCAAAAACAGGTAAGCTTTATAAAATGGCGACGAAATAATAAGCAGAAGGGAGTTTATGGGTATTGAGGAAACCCTGATCTCATGGCAATGCTTTATAGCATGTGCCACTAAAAGAGAAGAGAAAACACACTTCAGGCAGAGAGAAAGAGAGTGGATTCTATTGACCAAAATGAAAACTAATGAAATTAAAAAAAAAAACATGGAGGAAATCAATGAAAACAAAAGATGCTTCTTTGAAAATATCTTCAGAGTTTGCAAAACATTAGCTGGGATTGTTCTGGAATTAGAGTGATGGCTCAGATTACTAGCATTCACAGTGAAGTGGGAGCCAAAAAAATGTCATGAAAAGCACAAGGGCATAAAAATGAATCCTATTAATGGTTGTAGGACTAGGACAACAGCCGCAATTACACAACTTATTGGAATGTATAAATTCTTAGAAATACACAAATTATAAAAACTAACTCAGAAAAAAACTGCATACCATGCATAATATACCTCTGACGTAATGCTAGGTTATTTGTTGCAAAGAAAATACAAAGAGACCCATAGTTTTTCTCAAAGTCTAAAGAAAATGGAGAACTATGGTAAAAAGGAGATTATCATATAAACGTGTTCCAGGATCATACTTAATCTTTACCTCCTTCTACCTTACCATATGTACAGAATTTAAAGTGCTCCTGATTTTTTTTAAATTTCTATCCACAGGGAAATCCTAAAATCAGAACGTTGTGATGCTGAGTTTTAATAGATATTAAGGAAAGCATATGCCATTTCTTCCTGAACACTTTCAAAATACAGAAAGGATGTGAAAACATCTCCAAAATTCTCCATAAGAAGAACAGTGCCGTAATACTAAGACCAGACAAATATTTCACAGGAAAAGAACTGAAAACTAATATCACTTTTAAATGCGGTTGCAAGATTTTCAGCACAATGTTAGTTTACTGAATCAAGTGACTATAAGGATTTTAGCACCCTAACTAGGTAGGATTTATCTCAAGAATTCTCTGCTGTATCATTGAGCATATCAATGCTAGTGAAAATGAGCAAAACAGATGAATAAATGCAAACCATTTGAGAAAAGCCAATTCCCTTCTGTGATTAGACACATCTTTAATTAGTTCAGTGTATTATGTTAGACATTACTATATAACTGGGCACCCTTGAATAGACATCCAAAAACAACCAAAATGTGTGCTGAAACACAAACTTGCATAAGAATATTCATTGCAGCACTATTCACAACAGGCAAAAAGTCAAAACATTCCAAATATCCATCAGTCACAAACAAAAGGTGGCATGCATGTCCATACAGTAGAATATGATTCTGCCATAGAAGAAATGCAATACTGATTCATACTTCAAGATATGACATTTTTAAAACATACCAATTTGAAAGCCAGACACAAAAAGGTGACATTATACTCTTCTATTTATATGAAGTGTTTAAGAATATGCAAATCTGAGCAGTTAGAAAATAGATTGCTTTTTGCTTATGCCTGAGGTAAATAAGGAGTAATCATTAAAAGTACAGAGTTTCTGGGATGGCAAAAAGATTCCACAGATGACAATATTGATTGCTGAAAATATTTTAAATACATTGAAAACCATCTTTTGGCATATTTAAGTGGGATACTTACAACATATGGGGATTATATTTTACTACACTGTTACTTAAAAATAAAACAGAGAGAATGAAACATTAGGTCACGTACTCACTGTGAGGACCAATGGATCGAAGACATCAAATTTTAAGAGCTTCTTGATTTTTTCCACAAAAGGGTCCTGAGGATTGTTGAGGGAATCAACATTCACTCCAAATGATGTGGAAGTGATCACATCCATGCTGTAGGCCCCAAAGATGCTGACAAGAAAGAGAGAGATGGAAATTAACAGCTGCACCTCCTCCTACTCCACCTAAGATACATAAGGTGTGAAGTAGGAATAAATTCACATGTCCAGCCAGGACGGTCATAGTGCCACACAGAAACCCTTTCTGTGATATCCTTGTTCCTAACATACTCAACTGTGAGAAGTTTGTCAGGTAACAGTGTTGTGTCTGTCTTTCTGTTGTGGGATGACACGGATACATGCGGGCTAGTTTTAATTATCAAAATAACATAATCTAGAAGTGCCTGGGAAGAAACTCTCAAAGAGGCATTGTTTATATCAAGTTGGACAGGGCCATGGGGTGTTGCCTTGATTGTGTAAATTGATGTGGGAAGGTGTGAGCCAATGTGGGTGGCAACATTCCCTGGGTGTGGTAGTTTAAATGCAATTGGCCCCCATAAGCTCATAAGGAATGGCACTCTATTAGGAGGTGTGGCCTACTTCAACAAGTTTGGGTACTTGGTCCCCAGCTAGTGGCACTGTCTGAGAAAAAATATGGAAACTTAGAAGTAGAGCCACATTACAAGAAGCAGGTATTTTGGGCAGGCCTTGAGTATGTGTGTGTATATATAGCTTAGCCATATTTCCTTCTTCCTGACCATAGATGCAGTGTGATCAGCTAGCTTCCCATTCATGCACACTGTGTCACTGTGATGAATGGATAAACTGCCTAGAACTGTAAGCCAAAATGAAACCTTTCTTCTTTCAGTTGCTTTGTCAAGGTCTTTAGTCACAGAAAAGTAATCAACACAACAACCCAACAAACAATGACTGTACTAGTACTTACTCTTTCATGCTGATGGGATCCCCATTCTCTGATTTCTTCCTCATGTTTTTCACCAACATATCTGCATACTGCTTAATGATGGGGAGCATCTATACGCAAAACAAAATACCATCCATAGTGAGATGAGGGGGCTCAGTTCCCAGTAGACACAGTTTTCTTTCCCAAGGACAAAGCAAAAGGTCCCATTAACACGGAATGATATTCTTAGGAAGTTTCAGCCCAGATGTCACTGATTGGAAAAGGGCTGTCATCTTCCATGTCCCCAGATGTGTTTCTCATATTTACAATGACCACCTTATCATTTCATTACCTCCTTGAGCTTTCCACTGGTGAAGGTTGGAGACAGCAATGCTCGGATTCTCTTCCATTCTTCATTCTCAGCCACGGAGATAGCTTTTTTCATAATTCCCACTGGACCAAAAGTCTAGAATTCAAAGCAAAAGAGATGTTATCCTATAGAGTTTTAGGTAACTGCAAGGCTGTGGGGAACAAACATCACTTATATACAAACTATTTAGAACTGTGTCATTAAATGGTATAGGAAATGGGTGTTTCAAATGCCTCGCTCTCTAGGAAGCTGGAGGAAGAGAAAGGAAGGTCTGTCAGTGGTGGAGGTTCAATAAAGGTAGGATTGAGTTGATCAATGTATCAATTTTCATGCATTTTTATCATGCCTAACTCCACTAATAATGTGTAATTAATAAATGCAATGGAAAAATATTAAGCATATGTGTTGTATGGAAAGTCACAGAAACTTAGGAGCAGCAGCTAAAATTGAGCGCAACTGTGGAAGATTAAAGTTTATAACCTTTAAAAGTGAAGGCACGCGCGATATTCTGTTCACCATTGTACTGGAACTCCCTGCTAGCACAGCAAGTAAAGACAAATTGACATAAAAATTAGGTAGAAAGAAAAACTTTCATATTTTTTAATAAAATAATGTCAAGATAAAGAATTCATGGAGGACATAAATTAAAAAACAACTGGAACTTACAGATGAGTCAATTCACAAAAGCTCAGGCACAGTAAGGTAAGTAAGGAAAATGCAAAACCTCGTGAAATACACAATGATTTTCACAATAATTCCAAAAAAATGAAACACTTTACATATAAATCTAACAAAATCTAACAACAGCAATAAAAATGCTCATAAAAAAACAGTGAAATTTGAAGGAATAAAGAAACAAAGTATTCACAGATCAAAACAACATAGATCTAACATACATGGGAAGTAGAAAAAGACAAGATCCGCTGAGTAAACTGGGAGCATGGGAACCTTGGGGGAGGGTTGAAGGGGAGGGGAGAGTCAGGGAGGGGAGCAGAAAAAAAAATGTAGAGCTCAATAAAGATCAATAAATAAAAACAACTGCTGGGGAGATGGCTCTGAGGGAAAGATGCTTGTTGCTAAAGCATGAGGACCTGGGTTTGAATCTGCAGCGGCCACATTTTAAAGCACGTTGGCTATGGCCGTGGGTGCCTGTAACCCAGTGTTAGGGGAACGGAAACAGGTAGCACTGGCCAGCCAGAGTAGCCAACAAGGCAGGGTAGTGCAGCAGGACATCTAACATCTTCCTCGGGTCCTCTGCTGGTTCACGCAGGCACACACACATTGTACATACACATATATACAACTCTCACAAACAGAAGATTCAAAATACTAAAGTACTGTGCTTTAGACACACACACACACACACATGCACATACACAAAGGAGTTTCATTCCATCATAAAGAAGAGCAAAATTATATTATTTCCAGGAAAATAGACGGAATGAAGACCATGTTAAATGAAGAAAAATTCATAAAAACTACTATCACCTATCAATATTAATAATAGATTTTTAAACTATGTACATATAACAAAACATTATAGAGATTGGACCGAAGGCTCAGAACTTAAGAAGATTTGCTGCTCTTACAGAGGACAGGAGTTTGGTTCCCAGCATGCATCAGGTCACTCATAAATACCAGTAACTGTGGCTCTGAAGGATCCTGCACCCTCTTCTGGCCTCTGTGGGCACCTACACACATGTTCACATGCACACACGCACAGAGAGACACATAAAAACATACACATTAACAAATATAAAATAACTATTTTAAAAAGTCACAAGAAAACCGACTATTTTGTATGATAAACATATGCCAATGGTGTAGGAACTAAAGATGAAATGCTTTCCAACTAAGAAGAAAATACAAGTTCTGTAGGCAACTCTATAGACTAGGATATGAAAACCTTGTGGCAAACAAAAAATTCTGTATCTTAGCTGCTGGTTATACAGAGGTGCACAACTATATATGCATGAAGTTACATGCCTGTATGCACACACACACACTACAAAATAAGGACATGTAAAATTGCTATAAATAAAATATATAGGTTATACAAATTTTCTGTCACAGAAACATACTAAATTTACAGCTATGTAAAGCATTGAGACAAATAACATGAAGAACAAATGGAGCACAGTTAGACATTTGAGTCAATGCCCTATGAAATTATAATTATTTCATGATAAAAAGTAACGTATTGCCAGGCTGTGGTTGTGCATGCCTCCCTGTGGGAGACAGGGGCAGGCAGATTTCTGTGAGTCTGATGCCAGCCTGGTCTACAAAGCAAGTTCCAGAAAGCCAGAGCAGTTACACAGAAAAACCCTGTCTCAAAAAAAATTAAAAAATAATAACTAAGATATAAATGGGGCACTGGAGAGATGGCATAGTAGGAAGAGTACTTGCTGTGTAAACATAAGGATCTGACTTTGAATATCAAACAAATACTTAAAAAGCTGGATATGACCCCATGCAACTTTAACCCTAGCTCTGTGAGGGGCAGAAACAGCGCTTGCTGACTGATAGCCTAGCCCCAGGTTCAATGAGAGACCCTATCTGAAGGGAATAAGGAGAAAAGAACAGAACACCCAATGTGCTCCTCCAACTTCCATATGTGTGTAGGGTGTGTGTAGACACATGTGTGCATATAATTCACGCATCAAAAAGATCTTACTATATAAACAAATAGAGATTACAATATTTTAAATAGATGCCTACCCGCCGATTTGTGAAGGTAGAATAACATTCCTTCACCAGCACTGTTTTGATCATGTCTGGATCCGTGATAGCCAAAAGAGGGTTTCGGCCCTCATAAAACCTGCATTGGCAAAGCAAAGAAGATTAAACCCAATCATCTGGACTTGGTAGCTGGAAGCGCGCCCAGGAACCCAGAATCTGATCCAAATGTTATATAACTAACATCTTAGTTATACAACATGCTGCCACATGAGCACCTACAACAAGCCAGGGATTCCGACCACAGGTCACTGGTGTCTCATGAAATGAAGTATAATATGGCTCATGCAGGAGAGAGACAAATGCAAAATAGCTCCACAAAGAAGCCATAATCAAAACTAAATTAGAACATTTGCTAAGCCTGGATGAATATTGCCCACATACTATTTTTGATAATTTTTGCATGATCAAAATATCAGATTACCAAAAATGATATTAAGTGAATTGAAAACTGAAAGTGAGTAATTTAAGTACAAAATAGTGGATCAATCAGACACTGGATTGAAACTCAGGTGAACCATTCCCTGAACCAGCAAGTCCTGAAGAAAAGTCAAAATATGCACCTTTCTCAGCCAAATTCAGTATGTGAGACATATGGAATCTTTGGTAGAAAAATCCCCCCAGGGGCTGGAGAGATGGCTCAGTGGTTAAGAGCACTGACTGCTCTTCCAGAGGACCCGGGTTCAATTCCCAGCACCCACATGGTAGCTCACAACTGTCTAAAGATCCAGTTGCAGGGGATCTGACACCTTCACACCAATGCACATAAATAAAGTTAAATAAACCATAAAAAATATTTAAAAAAAGAAAAATCCCCCCAAAATCTTCATAATAGATAGCTAACACTCAAGATCCTGTGGGTTTTCATCAACATTTCACATCTTCCCTGTGGAAATTGACAGAATACTTACCCCCACATTTTTCCATATTTTTTATGACATTGTATGTCAAATTCCCAGAAACCCTGGAAAGAGAAAAAAGTAAAAATCCATAACTATGTTAAATATACTGTCCTCCCATACTGTCCTTACCTCTAGTTGAGGGACAAATGATTCCAATCTTATAAAATTGGGCTTACTATCCCTCATTAGCACTGAGAGGGACATTCTTATTCACAGCTTTCTGAGTGGAAAGGAGTTAAATGCTAGAGGTATTTGAAATAGGAATATTAAAGATTCCCACATTATCTCCCAACTTTGCAAATGCACAAAATCTCAGCCTTGGTTATGAATAATTGTTAACCCTGTTGTACATGTTTGGGGTTATTAACTATGGATAATAGTTAATAACATGTTTCTAAAGACTTTGCTTCTCTACGTGCTGTCAGGAAGATTCTCAAACTCTCTGAATTGTTCCTTCCACAGACACATGAAAAAATGGAAACTAAGGGAATGTCAGTGAGGTCCAATTAACTCCTCATTCAGCATCTTTTTTATGTATTTTATGACCACTTCCTTAGAAGACTAATAGAATCATGACACTGAAGAAGTCAGGAGCCTCTTTTAATTTAGTTTTTAATCTCAGGCAAGTTACTGAGTGAGAAAGCAACTGAATAAGGATGGCAAAGAGGGACTGAAGAGATGGCATAGTGGTTAAGAGCATTACCTGCTGTATCAGAGGACCAGAGTTCAGTTTTTAGCACCCACGTGGCAGCTAAAGGCTGTAATTTTAGCTCTAGGGAGACTCCTTTGTGGGCATCCAGCACTCATACACACACTTATAAGCACATAAAATACTCATACACATAAAAAGTATTTTTAAAAGTAGCTAAGAGAATTTGCCTTTATGGCTCCCTGGAAACATAAGAAAATAGGGAGTTGCCTCCTCTACACAGAACACAGCAAAGGAAAATATTTTCTCCTCCACACATAACATTGGAGATTAAATACTTGCTCTGAGTCTCTAAAACTTAAAAAGAAAACCTCTACTATGTTTCAGTTATATTTTGATTATGCCAATAAAAATTCCAGAACCATGACTTTCCCTTGCTAGAATCTACACTGGGGAAAAAGGACATTTCCTTTCAAGAATCACAAGTCTGAACATCAAGACCTCAGCATGCCCTTGTGGTATGACTGAGCCTCCTTTGGATATATACCATGAGTGTTGATATGACAGAGGTCTGAGTTGATCCACTGCGCCAAACCAGATTCTCCAAAGACTAACATCAAGGCCTTTGAGAAGCTGATCTTGCTTCAGATGGAAGCTAAACATGATTTTTTTAAATGCATCCTCAGTTCTACTCAAGATTTTATCTTTTTATTGATTGAACTAAGCCAGTCTTGGCAACCACAAGAAGAAAGACAGGGAGCCCAATGAACACTCACCTTCCTGTAAGCAAGAATTGACCCAAAGAAAGGCAGAGGTTTGGGCCCAGGAATTCCCAACTTTTTAAAAAGTCCATGCGAATGAGTTCCATATCTATGAAGTGAAAGAGAAAACTAGTACATTGGGATTGCCATTGTATGTTATAGTGGCTCACCTGTCATGGATATAGACACTATAAAATTCAAAAGAAGGTGCAACATATAGGCAACAAATAACAACAAAAACGCCAACAGTAATAATTATTTTTGGTCTTCACTTCTCTAGAGGTCTCTGTGGGACTCTCAAAACCTCAAAGGTTATCTTAAAAGGTAAGTAAAACTTTGGGGGTTTAAATCCTAAAGTTAATGTGGAGCACTGGACTGAGCTCCCAAGGTCCAAATGAGGAACAGAAGGAGGGAGAACACGAGCAAGGAAGTCAGGACCGCGAGGGGTGCACCCACCCACTGAGACGGTGGGGTTGATCTATTGGGAGCTCACCAAGGCCAGCTAGACTGGGGCTAAAAAAAGCAGGGATAAAACCAGACTCTCTGAACACGGCAGACAATGAGGGCTGCTGAGAAGCCAAGGACAATGGCACTGGGTTTTGATCCTACTGCATGTACTAGCTGTGTGAGAGCCTAGCCTGTTTGGATGCTCACCTTCCTAGACCTGGATGGAGGGGGGAGGACCTTGGACTTCCCACAGGGCGGGGAACCCTGACTGCTCTTCGGACTGGAGAGGGAGTGTGGAAAGGAGTAGGGAGAGGGGGAGAGGAGCGGAGGGAGGGGGAGGGAAATAGGAGGCAGGGAGGAGGCAGAAATTTTTTTCAATAATAATAAAAAAGAAAAAATGAAAAAAAATCCTAAAGTTTATTATTAATCATTAATAAATGTTTGAAAAATTGAGTTTGAATGTTCATGTGAAATCCAAGCTGAGTTCTTAGTATCATTTTTTCACTTTTTTTTTTTTTTAGAAAATTGATTAGATGCTAATCAACTATCCTTCTAGTGATCTTCAGTAAGAGCCACACCCCGCAAGTGTATTTGAGAGTTCTCTCTTGAGAGAAGAGGCATAGTCTTCACTTCCTCCTAACTCATACCTGAAGGTATTTCATCACCGGCTCATCCTCTTCCTTCTCTGCCTACACTAAGATATTTGCATGACTGGACAGACAGGTCTATCAAACACTGATGATTTTTTTAAAACCTGATAAGCAAGTTTATTTCAAAGCAAATGTGCAATCTGTGCCGTGTATTTATGCATTAGGCTCCCGTTCCTGACACTATTGTAAACAAATGAAGTCGCTGTAAATACATCAGTTATCACAAATATTGAAAGTAACAACCCACTTTATCTCTTTGAAGGAAGGTGCTAGGATTACCTCAAAGAAATGCTACAGCTGAATAGAAGGAAATAAAAATTTTCAGTTAATTACAAAATATCATCAGATGGAAAAGATGTTGTCACAATACTTTAAATGCCCATTCCTTTAAAGTGAAGCTATCTCTGAATTTTTCATGTTCTCATCACTATGAATTTCTACCTTTCCTTCGTAGAAAATGATGACAGAAGTTAGATGTGAGGGAATATCTACTACCCATAGACTCATAGGCAGAGAGAGACAAAGGAGAGAAAGAGAGAGCGAGAGAGAGAGAGAGAGAGAGAGAGAGAGAGAGAAGAGAGACACTATGGTGGTTCTCATCTTCCTAATAAAGTGATCCTTTAATACAGTTCCTCATGAGATGGTGAGCTGACAACCATAACATTATTTCGTCACTACTTCATAACCATAATTTTGCTATGGTTATAAATTATAATGTAAATATCAGATAAACTGGATAACTGATATTTGATCCCTGATAAACGTTCATTTGACCTAAAGGAGGTCACGACCCACAGGCTGAGAACAATTGCAGTAGAATGAGCTGGGGATGGTGGCCACATATGCTTTGAGTTCTGGAACTCAGGGTAACCTCTCTCCTGTCCTCACAGGAATCCCTTCACTGGAAGGAAATTCTGAGATGGATGTTCTTACTGAAGCTCCCAGAAGCACTTAAAGGGAAAATGTTTAACATTCTATTTGTTTCAGAGTGTCTGATATTTGAGGAGGCCAGTAGATCTCATAGCCAGGAAGGAGTCACTCCTTATACTGATGCTATGGACTTGAAGGGAAATAGTGAAGGAAAAGAACCAAAGTCAGGTCTCCTTTACTCTAAAGATTCATCGTTTAATAGTACTAGAGAGATGCTTAGTGGTTAAGAACACTTGTTGCTCTTGTTGAGGACCTGGGTTCAATTCCAGAATTTATATAGTGGCTCACAGCCAGATATCTGTATGTAATTCCAGTTCTGAGGGATAAGATTTGTTGCCAACCTCCTTGGGCAACAAATACACATGTATATGCATATACATACATGCAGGCTAAACACTAATATAAAATAAAATGACCTAATGTAATTTTTTAAAAAAGACTCATTACTTAGAAGCAAATAGCTCATCATATTATAGGTAGAAAGACTGAGTTTGGGGAACACAGAGAGCTCCAGGGAAGGCTAGGAAAACAAGGAATAATCTCAGCCTACCATATGGCCTTGGATATGCACTAAGGACATTGTATAAACAGTCCTAGAGGGGAGAGAAGGGAATAGAAAAGAGTCATGTGCACATGGGACAACACTATACATCTCCGACATCAGAGGACACAGGTGAAGATGGCAAAAAAAAAAAAAAAGCTCCTCCTATCCCCACAATCCTGAGACCTTGCAGAAGAGACCTCCCAAAATACACAGGGACCAATTATGTGTCATCCACGTCTGCTGAGCTCTGGTTGATTAATCTGGGGGAAACTTGAGACTCAATCAGAGAATACCCACATCTAACTGATGTCTCTCAATCCTCCTATCTACAGAAAGTGGAGCTGAGTAGAAGAGTAATGTGCATTTATCCCCTTAGAGGGATTTGCTTAAGACCAACAGCAACACCTTAGGTCTTTGTAGCATGCCACACTCAAGCAACATTCCCTTCATTTTCTCTTTGGAGAAAAACAGGGAGAGGAAAGAATTATCCAATTCACCTTCCCAACTCCTGATCACTGAGGAAAGAAGCCTGGGCAGTTTACTCACAGGTAGAGGAGCACCAGGCTGGTAGCCAGGAGCATCCAGGTTTCCATGGAGAAGTTTGGGATCAGGTCCATTGCTGCTTCTTTAATCAAGTCTCTCTTTTGTGGTTTATTCTCAGCTGTGTGTGCTCCACCTTGCAGGAATGAGCCTGATGAGCTTCCTTTCCTGCTCTGCTGTGACTCAAAAGGCGAGCCTGTAGTGCTTAAGTATGGGAACGGGGTGGGGTTGAGTTTGCAGTCAATGAAAACACAACCGTGCCCCACCCACAATTCCAAGAGTCAAGTGCACTCTCTAACTTTGCAGTTGGCATCATGCCATGAATGTACCCACTTTCAGCTTTGAACTCATTTGCCATGAAACATTAACCAGAAAAAAATGCAAACGGTGATTTTATTGTCACTTAGGGCAAAGGTTACTTATCAGAAACTTAAGTGAAATCATTGACTTTAATTTTCCTCCAGCAGTTCTGTCCATGGTTGCTTTCTGTTGTGGTTAAAAACAAAAACAAAACATTATGACCAAAAACAACCTGGGGAAAAGGGTTTATTTCGTATTACAACGTATAGTCCATAATGAAGGGAAGTCAGGGCAGAAATACAAGGCATAAATCTGGAGGCAGACACGGAAGCAGAGCCCCTGGCTGAACCCTGCTTACAGACGCGCTCCCTTTGGCTTGGTTAGGGTAATTTATTCTCCCATGGAAATGGTGCAAAAAAACTGGAAAGAGTCAAAACCTCAAAGGCATGAGAGTCTCCCACACCCATATAGACTACTTACATAGTGCTTTCTGAGTTATTTTGGGAAGTATAGTGTCTCTCTATATAGATCTCTATCTGTGTGTGTGTGTGTGTGAGAGAGAGAGAGATAGAGAGAGACAGAGACAGAGAGAGACAGAGAGAGAGACAGAGACAGAGACAGACAGAGAGAGACATGTTCTGTTTTGTTGCATGCAGCCCATAGTCCATTGTCAGAGAATTTTATGCTTTTAATGAAAGTGGCCCCTGTAGGCGCATATATTTGAAATCTTCCACAGCTAGTGGAACTGTTTGGGAAGAAACAGAAGATGTGGAATTGTTGGAGGAGGTTTGTCACTGGAGTGGGCTTTGAGGTTCCTAAAGCCAACACCATTCCCAGTTAGCCATCTACTCATTGCCACGAGGATTGGATGTAAACTCTCAGCTCTGCTCCAGTGCCATGGTTGCCATGCTCCCCACCATGATGATCATGGACTCACTCTCTGAGACTAAGTTGCCTTGGCCATGGTGTCTCTTCACAGTAGTAGAACAGTTACTAAGAGAGAGGCATTTCTACCCTTCCTCTACCATTGGTTTTCCCTTATGCCAGTCTTGATGCCTCTGGAACCTCCTTCCCTGCTCTTCTCCTATATCAGGTGTAGCTGTATAAGTTTATTTCTACATCCTCTCCTGTATCCTATCATTGTCACGAAAGTAGATGGAACCAGAGATCTCAACATAAAGCAAAATAAGTCAGATTCAGAAAGACAAACATTGCATAAAGAATCTTTTTAGGTTTTACTTTATTTTCAGTCATGTTAGGGGTGGGTAGACATGCACACCCATGGGTGAGAGTACCTGCAGAGGCCAGAAGAGTACACTAGATGCCCTAGAACTGGAGTTACAAACAGTTGTGAGCCACCTAACATGTATGCTGGGCACCAAACCCCAGTCCTCTGTCCTCTGTAAGAGCAAAAAGGGCTCTAAACCACTTCCCTATTTCTCCTATGGACCCTAACAAACAAAAGGCCTAGACAAATAATAGTTATAAAGGAATAGAGAGGGGACCATGGGAGGGTAACAAACTTGAGTACTTAGAGGAAATATGATCAGAGGATCTTAAGTAAAATTTTGTACTGAACTCCCTTATATTTTTGTACAATTATTACACTAACAAAAAAAGCAAGCCAAGTAAGTTGTCCTTGGACAGTAGGAAAACTGCTTGAGACCATTTCAGATACTGGCTGCACCTCACTCATCAAAGATTGCTTTGGGAGTTTTAGGGCAAAGATCTCACACCTTGCTATTTGACAATCTCTTCCTGTAAAGATTAACACAAACAGCTATGAACCCCAGATAAGGAACTGGAGACAGATGGAAAAAAAAACAACCAATTACACTAAAGTCCAACTTGGCAAACTAACTTGTTTGGGGATTACTCATAGAAGTGAGGTTGTTGTTGTTGTTGTTTGGTTTGGGGGGGTATTTATTTATTTACTTATTTTAGACAGCATTTCACTATGTATCCCAGGCTGGCCTCAACCTCATTATGTAGACCAGCAGGCTGGCATTGAACATACAGAAATTCACCTAAGTCTACATCTCAAGTGCTGGTATGAAAGACATGGGCCACCGCACAGGGCCTGTTTGCTGTTCTTGCAGAAAACTGAAATCCAGTTTCCGGCTCTCACCACAGGAGGCCTGGAACTCCAGCAATCTGGTTGGTGTTCAGATTCTTGCCTGTGATCCCCCCACAGCGCATGTGTCTTCTAGAACTAATACTCATTCTGATCATGGCAGGGCCAAACCAGGAGTCAAGTCAAGGCAGTGTAGGGACACTGTGTGGAAGCTCCCTTTCTTCCTTCCCAACCAAAGAGCACAGAAAACATGAAAACAGGAAGAAATTAATGATTCCTAACTGTTGACAACTTAATGCCTTACCCAAATCTAAAACACTTTTTATACTTTTTTAAAATTTTTGAGCTCTACATTTTTCTCTGCTCCCCTTCTTTTTACACTTTTAAAATGTAAAACCAGGCTACGTGAAAAAACTCAGTGTATGTGGTACTCACCACATAAGTTTGAGGATCTGAATTTGATCCCCTAAAATCCACGCATAAAAAGCAGTGCCTATGCCAGATGGTAATGGCTCATGCCTTTAATTCCAGCACTTGGGAGGCAGAGGCAGGTGGATCTCTGTGAGTTTGAGGCCAGCCTTGTCTACAAAGTAAGTTCCAGGATAGTCAGGGTTACACAGACAGAAGCCCCGTCTCAAAATAGAAAGAAAGGAAGAAAGAAAGAAAGAAAGAAAGAAAGAAAGAAAGAAAGAAAGAAAGAAAGAAAGAAAGAGGGAGGGAGGAAAAGAAAAGAAAAGAAAAGAAAAGAAAAGAAAAGAAAAGAAAAGAAAAGACCATGCCTGTCACACCGGTGATCGGAGACAAAGAACACAAAGACAGGAAGAATCCCTTGGGGTTACTGGCCAATCAACGCAGCCAAATCAACAAGCTCCAAATCCAGTGAGAGACCTTGTCTCAAAAAGTGAAGTGGTCATGAGAAGCCTGCCCCATTCTGAACAGAAGCAGGGGATGAATGGATTGTGGGGCAGGGTGGGAGAGGGAATGTGAGAAGAGGGGGGAGAGGAAACGGTCAGGATGTAAAATAAATGAATAAATTTAATAGATAGATAGATAGATGATAGATAGATAGATAGATAGATAGATAGATAGATAGATAGATAGATAATGATGATGATGATGATAGATAGATAGATAGATAGATAGATAGATAGATAGATAGATAGATAATGATGATGATGATGATAGATAGATAGATAGATAGATAGATAGATAGATAGATAGATAGATGATAGATAGATGATAGATAGATAGATAGATAGATAGATAGACAGATGATAGATAGATGATAGATAGATAGATAGATAGATAGATAGATAGATAGATAGATAGATAAAGTGAGGTAGAGAACAATTGAGAAAGACACGATATTCACCCTTGGTCACAAATGTGCAGTTACACACACACAAGTAAACACAACAAAGAGCAAACAGACACACAATCATGCACAAGATATAAAATCCATCTGTAATTAATCATGTTTTTCTCTGAAAAACATACTTAGTTAAAAGGTTCTTGTAGCTAAATGTAATATGACTTTCCCCTGTCCTATCCACATAAAGACCTGTCATCATTCCTTGTGACCAGGCCGTCACAGGGTGAGACAGTCTGGTCATTCCTTGAGTTAAAACCCAGGCAGCATTAGGGTTAACTCACAGTGTAAGGTCTTAGCCAATAAATGGAGGGAGGCTTTTGTGAACCTTTGTCCATGGAAGGTAATAATTTCCCATGTGAAGGAACATGTACACTGAGAACTGAGCTGAAGATGTGCAGATAGACACTGTGTACCAGAAGTGCATTTCTCGAGTGCCCACTTCCTGCTGTGAGTACTCTGAGTAGACAGATGACTCACAGTCAGGCCTAAGACACAGCTGAGTAACAGCTAAACACAGCCCTGCTTGCAGATAAGAACAGTTGATAATGAAAGTACATTGAGCTGGAATTAATCACACAGGTATTAGAAACATACAGCCTTATCAATATTGAATTGATTATCTTTTTCTGTGTCCCTAACAGGTCAAAGTTTGATCTTTGATAACGGTAAAGAAATCATTAAGCTCAGAAATAAATATAATCATACTTATTGATCTGTTCCAAGTTTTACTACAAAAGCCTAGGCTCTAAGGATCCCAGAAGAAGAGGCTGAGCCACCCATTCCCATGTGATAATTAAGAAGATGAATAGAGATGCAGGACAAAGAGGGAGATTTAATACCCAGGGCTATATTACGAATGAATAAAAGGGTTCGTTGACTCAAATCAAGTCTGTCTCCTAAGGGTTATCAGGAGCTTTTGGATTGTGTGCATGTGTGTGTGTGTGTGTGTGTGTGGCATATGTATGTGTGTGTGCAGTAACACCCACCCTTATGAACACATGTGTCTTCCTCTATTGCCACTGTTTGTACACACTTTTAAATTTTATTACATTTTAAAATCTATTTTGTGTGTGTGCATACTTGGTGCCCATGGAGGTTAGAATGAGTGTTGAATACCCTCAACTTTAAGTTACAGACAGTTGTGAACCACCATATGGGGGCTAGAAACAGAGCCCAAGTGCTCTGGCAAAAGAAACAAGTGCTCTTAACTGCTGATCCCCTCTATTAATCTCTATTAATCCCCTGTTTTTAATGTGTGTGGGGGTGTGTGTGCGCGCGCGTGATTTTGCCCACATATTTATAAAGTGCTTTTTATTAAGATAAGATCTCTCACAGAATCAACTAAGCAAGTCTCATAGGGACTCATGGAGACTAAAGCAGCAATCGAGGAGCCTGCGTGGGTCTGTGCTAAGCCCTCTGCATACATGTTATAGTTGTTTAGTTTAGGGGTTTTG